AGAACCGAAGTCAGTGGCGCAGATGTATACACACATTATCCTCATCTTAACAACGCTATACCGAATCTCACTATTTTGTCACTCCTCTTTCCTTTCTTCTCATACTTTATATTTCTTTTGACTGCATTCACTTATCTTCATCCTTCACCTCACTACCTTTTTACTTGATGTGCTGATATGAGGTGTGGCAACTCGGACCGTTACGCAGTAATGCCTGGTCCTATGTTGATAATGATGATGATCTTAGACGACTTCTGTATGCAAATGATTATTCATACTGTAATTTGATAACATCAGCCATACAAATATATTGTGGATTTGTAAGACAATCTAATTGTAGCAAAATAATGATTGTTATATCCTTTAAACTCTTGTTTTGTATCACAAAATCACGTAGTGTTATATATTATCTACAGTAAACTTGTATCCAAACCAGTGAGTTCATTGAATTCAAAAAACACTTCACATTCATTACATGCCTTAATCTAAAGATATTCCTACTAAATCTGTGCTTATTTTTTCTAACATCCTATAAATTAACAAATGTCTTCACTTACCTGATAAAATAGCTGTACCATCACGTAGTAGGTCTATACAGTAACACGTCATATTAGGTATATTTATACGTAAAAGTTCTTGTTGGTTGTTTTTATTAAAAACACGAATATCTTGGTATGCACACGTCACAAACAGCTCTGAACAGTTACTAAGAAAAAAGTTAAGCGGAAGAAAATAACACTGAATTATCATTATTTAATGAAAATTGGTGAGAGTACCTTATGAATTCCTGGTGTAAGAGCTTTTCAGTTAAGTAACTGTTTAATAGGCTAGTTATATTCGTTTCAGCAACTAACAGTATGCATGAAATATTCTCAATATTATTATCCTCAGTCTACAACTGTATATAATACAACAGCTTGTAGCGTCACACACTTCCCCAAAATCAATAGCCTAGGGTTTGACGACTCTCGACATTGATGCTGACCTTGATAGTTTAACTGGACTCACTAAGCTGAAGGCACCCAGTCAAGCATCCTCGCCATTTGGCACGCTGTCGTGTCGCGTTGCACTGCTCGTATTAGACTCTCTAGCCAGTTAGTTGGAACGCATCGGTATTTTGGTACAACCATCCAAATATACTATTCCATCCGACTACGCTATCGTGTTCTTCCCTGGCCTTGTATTCGTGGGTGTATAACAAGTTCGAATAATTAGTGACTGGTCTTTGCGTCAGTCAGGTTCACACCAGGATAAATCCTAAAAGCTTATAAGCACACTTCTTTCTTATATTGCTTAATTCATAAGTAGTTGTTACTTATTAGCGGAACCGGTTAACAGGGATAATACTGCATCATTACAGTATGAAATTTGATAATTTTTTTTATTTTCCTTTTGTTCTTAGATGGGTCATAATCTATTCTGGAGGATGCTGCGCTTTAGGTTATAAAGTGGTAACTGCTGCGTATTTCATCACATCTTATCTTCTGATTCTAAGATAAATGTTTAGGGAGCTGGAGGCTGGCAGCTGATATCAAATGTTTTGACAGATTCATTATTTCTCTCAAAATACTGTTTGAACACCTATTTAAAGAGGCAAAAAAACTGCCTTTTGTGTTAGGATTTGCTTTCCAACTAGTAGTAGGAATGTTTAAAACCGTACTGTACTTGACGACTAATGCTATATTCTTGGTAAACTGTTGTATTTATTCTACAAAATGTATGCATTTTGTATGCAAAACTTGGCAAACAGATCAGTTTTAATTGGATGATTCACTGGTATTTCTGCTACTGAAAGGATATAACGGTGAATAAATGATCATATCTTCTAGGCTACAACAACATGTCTACTAAGGTGATTATTGATTGTCCTAATTTCACGCGTCATATTATGTGTAAATACAATCATCATCACCTCGAAAGAAACATTACAAAGGTCATTCAATTTGTCCCGTTAATAATTATCAAGATAAGTGTAAATCGATTTTACATATTTAATGTTATGGTGTCATTGAAACACGCCAACATATAGTTAATATCACTGTTATTACTCTAATAATATGAATTAATATCCACTAAGTTGTCATTATATAATCGCGTAACTGCACAAACAGATTGAGATGACTTTTCCACGTTTTTTTTCATGATATGACTGTAATTTGTATCCTTCAACACAGCATAGATTGTCACGTTTTCCAATACGCCTTGCTTCTTAGTTGTGACAATATAATAGCATAATGCCCTATTTCTGAACTGTGTAGTGAATATTTCATTGATAGAAGTAAATATATGCATAGTTATTCCGATTGAGATAAGCCACAAATCGGCTCAGTAAGCAGAGAAGCTGGTACAATAGTCCAGGGACCATGAGTAGTTCATAACAGCTGATTATATTTACCTGTTGAGTAGTTAGAATTTGGCTGGGTTTGATTAATCATTTTACACTAAAGATGAAGAAACAAGTGTTGTAGTTAACGGATTGTAAACTCATCATAATGGTTAATCACGAGAAATGCACAGTGATTTTGTAGCACTGAGGTTACAGAAAGAAAGATTCAATGATAAACATATTCACTTAACTCTTTGTTTTAAATGCTTGGTGTTCATCGGCTGAATAATTTTGGGAAAGTTCTATTAAGTTCTTTATTGCTGTATTTAAGCTAACCCTGATACATTTATTGAACCGTAAATGTCACCATCGTGACTCCTTTGTATGTATCAAAATCAATAAAATAGTCAGCAATGATTCGTTTGATATTTGTATGTGTATTAAGACTTACTAGGGGAATCTGACATCATTGACAGCTGCATTGTGGCATGTATTGATTAGTTCATGGTTGAAATCTGAATAACTGAACCGATAAAGGTGACATTTATCAGTTGTAACGAAAAATTGATGTCCTTCTCCTCGTAGACTGATAGCTGTAACACTGCCTAACAGTTTTTTCATCTTGCTGTAATATGATCAAAGTAAAACTTTGAAGTAAATTTTTGACTGTTCATCAGTAATATAATACTCTTTATCTTTCCGTACTGTGAAGAATAAAATGAAAAAAAATTACTACTGGTTTTTTGCTTGTCTTTGTTAAAACATTCTTATCACTTGAACATCCTTTACAAAATAGACACTATTTAATTAGGTATCTTCTCTCCATTTGATCAGCTCTACAGAAAAATACTGCATGAAGCCTTTGGAACAGGACACTAAACATGCAGCTTTATAAGGTGATTGCCCGCAAACAATAAATGATTGAACTTTGTACCAGTAGTTCTGTTTTTCATTCCAAATGACGTCAGGGATTATTACTGTTGTACAGTCTTTGTATAGAACAAAGCATCAGGCAGTACTTTTGGAGACTGCGTGGAATTATCTATAAACCAATTCAATTAAAAATAACTTTTCCTATTACTATTTGTTGATACGCTTGTAGTCCTCCGTTGTTTTACTAGATCGAATTGTTCGCCCTCGATTGGCTCCTATGTGGATGCTTCGATATCACCTGGAAATTTATCACGATAATTTACTTGGTTGCAGCTAGCAGAGAAATCCAAGACGCACGTTCTGTCGTATTAGGGACTCGTCAGCTAGATGTAACTGCACTCCAATGAGTGATGTTGTTCCCACTGAGGCGTTAACCTGTTACCCATTGCTTCAAACATCAAAGCGTTATCCACTAGGCTACTGAGGAACGACACCCACCTCTTGTACAACGTACGTCCTGGATTCTTCTGCTAGCCACAACCAAGTAAATTACCATGATAAATTTTCAGGTGACATCGAAGCATCCACATGGGAACCCCCATATGCCAACTGAGGTCGAACAATTCGATCCAGTAAAACAATGGAGAAGCGCATCAACAAATAGTAATAGGAAACATTATTTTTAATTTAAATGGTTTATAAATAATTTCATGCAGTCTCCACATATTCTGTAGTTTTCAAAGTATATATATATATATATATATATATATATATATATATATATATATATATATATATATATATAACTTTGAAAACTACAGAATATGTGGAGACTGCATGAAATTATTTATAAACCATTTAAATTAAAAATAATGTTTCCTATTACTATTTGTTGATGCGCTTCTCCATTGTTTTACTGGATCGAATTGTTCGACCTCAGTTGGCATATGGGGGTTCCCATGTGGATGCTTCGATGTCACCTGAAAATTTATCATGGTAATTTACTTGGTTGTGGCTAGCAGAAGAATCCAGGACGTACGTTGTACAAGAGGTGGGTGTCGTTCCTCAGTAGCCTAGTGGATAACGCTTTGATGTTTGAAGCAATGGGTAACAGGTTAACGCCTCAGTGGGAACAACATCACTCATTGGAGTGCAGTTACATCTAGCTGACGAGTCCCTAATACGACAGAACGTGCGTCTTGGATTTCTCTGCTAGCTGCAACCAAGTAAATTATCGTGATAAATTTCCAGGTGATATCGAAGCATCCACATAGGAGCCAATCGAGGGCGAACAATTCGATCTAGTAAAACAACGGAGGACTACAAGCGTATCAACAAATAGTAATAGGAAAAGTTATTTTTAATTGAATTGGTTTATAGATAATTCCACGCAGTCTCCAAAAGTACTGCCTGATGCTTTGTTCTATACAAAGACTGTACAACAGTAATAATCCCTGACGTCATTTGGAATGAAAAACAGAACTACTGGTACAAAGTTCAATCATTTATTGTTTGCGGGCAATCACCTTATAAAGCTGCATGTTTAGTGTCCTGTTCCAAAGGCTTCATGCAGTATTTTTCTGTAGAGCTGATCAAATGGAGAGAAGATACCTAATTAAATAGTGTCTATTTTGTAAAGGATGTTCAAGTGATAAGAATGTTTTAACAAAGACAAGCAAAAAACCAGTAGTAATTTTTTTTCATTTTATTCTTCACAGTACGGAAAGATAAAGAGTATTATATTACTGATGAACAGTCAAAAATTTACTTCAAAGTTTTACTTTGATCATATTACAGCAAGATGAAAAAACTGTTAGGCAGTGTTACAGCTATCAGTCTACGAGGAGAAGGACATCAATTTTTCGTTACAACTGATAAATGTCACCTTTATCGGTTCAGTTATTCAGATTTCAACCATGAACTAATCAATACATGCCACAATGCAGCTGTCAATGATGTCAGATTCCCCTAGTAAGTCTTAATACACATACAAATATCAAACGAATCATTGCTGACTATTTTATTGATTTTGATACATACAAAGGAGTCACGATGGTGACATTTACGGTTCAATAAATGTATCAGGGTTAGCTTAAATACAGCAATAAAGAACTTAATAGAACTTTCCCAAAATTATTCAGCCGATGAACACCAAGCATTTAAAACAAAGAGTTAAGTGAATATGTTTATCATTGAATCTTTCTTTCTGTAACCTCAGTGCTACAAAATCACTGTGCATTTCTCGTGATTAACCATTATGATGAGTTTACAATCCGTTAACTACAACACTTGTTTCTTCATCTTTAGTGTAAAATGATTAATCAAACCCAGCCAAATTCTAACTACTCAACAGGTAAATATAATCAGCTGTTATGAACTACTCATGGTCCCTGGACTATTGTACCAGCTTCTCTGCTTACTGAGCCGATTTGTGGCTTATCTCAATCGGAATAACTATGCATATATTTACTTCTATCAATGAAATATTCACTACACAGTTCAGAAATAGGGCATTATGCTATTATATTGTCACAACTAAGAAGCAAGGCGTATTGGAAAACGTGACAATCTATGCTGTGTTGAAGGATACAAATTACAGTCATATCATGAAAAAAAACGTGGAAAAGTCATCTCAATCTGTTTGTGCAGTTACGCGATTATATAATGACAACTTAGTGGATATTAATTCATATTATTAGAGTAATAACAGTGATATTAACTATATGTTGGCGTGTTTCAATGACACCATAACATTAAATATGTAAAATCGATTTACACTTATCTTGATAATTATTAACGGGACAAATTGAATGACCTTTGTAATGTTTCTTTCGAGGTGATGATGATTGTATTTACACATAATATGACGCGTGAAATTAGGACAATCAATAATCACCTTAGTAGACATGTTGTTGTAGCCTAGAAGATATGATCATTTATTCACCGTTATATCCTTTCAGTAGCAGAAATACCAGTGAATCATCCAATTAAAACTGATCTGTTTGCCAAGTTTTGCATACAAAATGCATACATTTTGTAGAATAAATACAACAGTTTACCAAGAATATAGCATTAGTCGTCAAGTACAGTACGGTTTTAAACATTCCTACTACTAGTTGGAAAGCAAATCCTAACACAAAAGGCAGTTTTTTTGCCTCTTTAAATAGGTGTTCAAACAGTATTTTGAGAGAAATAATGAATCTGTCAAAACATTTGATATCAGCTGCCAGCCTCCAGCTCCCTAAACATTTATCTTAGAATCAGAAGATAAGATGTGATGAAATACGCAGCAGTTACCACTTTATAACCTAAAGCGCAGCATCCTCCAGAATAGATTATGACCCATCTAAGAACAAAAGGAAAATAAAAAAAATTATCAAATTTCATACTGTAATGATGCAGTATTATCCCTGTTAACCGGTTCCGCTAATAAGTAACAACTACTTATGAATTAAGCAATATAAGAAAGAAGTGTGCTTATAAGCTTTTAGGATTTGTCCTGGTGCGAACTTGACTGACGCAAAGACCAATCACTAATTATTCGAACTTGTTATACACCCACGAATACAAGGCCAGGGAAGAACACGATAGCGTAGTCGGATGGAATAGTATATTTGGGTGGTTGTGCCAAGATACCGATGCGTTCCAACTAACTGGCTAGAGAGTCTAATACGAGCAGTGCAACGCAACACGACAGCGTGCCAAATGGCGAGGATGCTTGACTGGGTGCCTTCAGCTTAGTGAGTCCAGTTAAACTATCAAGGTCAGCATCAATGTCGAGAGTCGTCAAACCCTAGGCTATTGATTTTGGGGAAGTGTGTGACGCTACAAGCTGTTGTATTATATACAGTTGTAGACTGAGGATAATAATATTGAGAATATTTCATGCATACTGTTAGTTGCTGAAACGAATATAACTAGCCTATTAAACAGTTACTTAACTGAAAAGCTCTTACACCAGGAATTCATAAGGTACTCTCACCAATTTTCATTAAATAATGATAATTCAGTGTTATTTTCTTCCGCTTAACTTTTTTCTTAGTAACTGTTCAGAGCTGTTTGTGACGTGTGCATACCAAGATATTCGTGTTTTTAATAAAAACAACCAACAAGAACTTTTACGTATAAATATACCTAATATGACGTGTTACTGTATAGACCTACTACGTGATGGTACAGCTATTTTATCAGGTAAGTGAAGACATTTGTTAATTTATAGGATGTTAGAAAAAATAAGCACAGATTTAGTAGGAATATCTTTAGATTAAGGCATGTAATGAATGTGAAGTGTTTTTTGAATTCAATGAACTCACTGGTTTGGATACAAGTTTACTGTAGATAATATATAACACTACGTGATTTTGTGATACAAAACAAGAGTTTAAAGGATATAACAATCATTATTTTGCTACAATTAGATTGTCTTACAAATCCACAATATATTTGTATGGCTGATGTTATCAAATTACAGTATGAATAATCATTTGCATACAGAAGTCGTCTAAGATCATCATCATTATCAACATAGGACCAGGCATTACTGCGTAACGGTCCGAGTTGCCACACCTCATATCAGCACATCAAGTAAAAAGGTAGTGAGGTGAAGGATGAAGATAAGTGAATGCAGTCAAAAGAAATATAAAGTATGAGAAGAAAGGAAAGAGGAGTGACAAAATAGTGAGATTCGGTATAGCGTTGTTAAGATGAGGATAATGTGTGTATACATCTGCGCCACTGACTTCGGTTCTGAGCCATATCACCTAGGGTCTCCAACCACTGGTTCCTCTTGTCCCGTGGACCCCAACCACCTAGTCTGCATCGTCCTACATGGCTTAAACCAACAGTCAGAGACTTCATACATTGGTGCCATGTTTTAGTCTGGCCACCTCGGGCCTTTTTCCAGCCTGAACCCACCTCAGCCAACATTGTGTGACGAGGCAATCGGTGACTAGGCATACGTAGTACGTGTCCCAACCATCTCAGTCGATGAAGGTTCACAACCTCGTCGACTGACTTACCTCTTCTCCCTAAAACTCTACACCTAACTTCTGCATTACTCACATGGTGACACCACGGAATACGTCCTATACTACGAAGGCAACGGTGGTCAAATACCTGTAACCTTCTCATGTCTTCCACTTTCAATGGCCATGTTTCACAGCCATACAGTAGAACAGAGCGGACTGCTGTGCAGTACACGCGACCCTTAATAGACAAACGAATATCACGGCGGCGCCATAGGTGGCGCAAATTGGCAAAAGCCAATCGAGCCTTTTGTATCCGTGCAGAAATCTCATCGGCAACTAACCCACCGGAGTTGATCCTACTTCCCAGGTAAGTGAAGTGGTCAACACACTCAACCACTTCACTCTCTATTGTTAACCGCGGTACCGCTGAAGACCAGTCCTGGAGCAAAAATTTGCATTTGGGTGGTGAAAATCGCATCCCAAACATTCTCAAATTCCCACTCAAAGTGTTCAGAAGACTCTGCATCTTGTCAGCGTCTTCACCTAACAGGACTATGTCATCTGCATATTCTAGATCTAAGGAAAATTCACCTGTGGTCCGGTCAACGTCTTTGTAATTAGGTGACGAGAGGGAAACCTCCATAAGAATATCTATGATAAAATTAAATAAGAATGGGGATAGTGGGCATCCTTGACGGACACCACTTGATGAGTATAGCTCCCTCGTCTAAGATTCTGTATATTTAACAGTTGTTAGTTGTTTCAAGGCTGTATTCATAAAGAATTGATCAAAATGACTTTTAATGATTTGAGGTACGCTAATATGGATAATAAAACAGCACTTTCATAATAGGCTGATTGGTATTAACACGTGAGGTTTTATAACAGATATACCTGTAATTACTTCACTCATGATCATTAATCATGCTAAAAGACAGTGAATATTTTACATTTGTCATTCTAAAAACAGTTTTGCTACTCAATATGGGCTAGAATTTGGACGCTTACACCTATGTACCACTGAGGTTCAGGCTGGACAATAGATGACCAAGTGTTGACGTAGGCCAGTTGAACTATGCATCAAAGTGTTCTGCTAAACGTTCTAGCCATTTGTCATGAGGGCTTATGAAGGTACTATCCTCTCCAGTGATGCTCTCAGTCAAAATCGTCTCCGTCTTGTCAGTATCCTAAATAAAAATAATTGCCAGCTATTAAAAAGTACTGACAAAACTTCCTCAACTCGTCCTCTGTCACTACCCACCACTGTTCACGATCATTACGAAGACTCTCAGTCACCTTGTGTTTGGGTTGCTTCCACCTCATTTTGCCATCACAACCAGTAGCAACGAGTCATCTCACATCAATCAGCTACGATGAAGTTGCGGTAATCCGCATAGGCTTCCAACTGCCTTCACTCCCGCTTCCACAGTTGACAGAATATCATGCCAGCTTCACTTAAGGTCAGCACTGCTGTCACGTTCACATAAATGCTTGCTTAGATATCTCCTCTCCAATTACGAACTTCCCGTTCTCATCTTCCAATTTAGCACACGCTAGATTCACTTCTGCCTGCCTGTTTCCTGTAATCAGTATGGCACTGAAATACATGTGCGCGTACTAACGCGCAGTGTTAGATTATAGAAATATGATTTGTCTGAGTCCGTCGTGTTAGCTTGATGTCTGTAAACATCATGTGAGACAGTGTCTCTGCTCATGCTCGAAGTTAGTGCTGCCTACATAAAAGTGATTGTCAGGACAAAATTGCGAGAGACAATTACTGCTGTCAGTTCGTTGATACGGGATTCCGTAGATACCTTCCTGACTGACTCAGTTTTGTTATTTGAGGGTTAAAGTAGATCGATATTATGACTATACCTGAAAGTTTGATGTGGTGTAGAAAATTCATCACTTCTGATCGAATTCATTCTTTGCATCATGCGAACTGAAGTGAGTGGACGCGTGCACGAACATTAAGAATGGGTATCGGCACGCCTCACGCTTCTT